TCGTGCAAATTCATGTTAATATTCATGCTAAATAATTGCGTCGGAAAAAGTTCGATAAGTTGAATGTATTGGTATAACAATGCTGTAAGTCATATTTTTTTAATTGTTCAAGAAAATTTTCATAATAGGTGGGAAAAATCAAAAAAAACGTAAAATGAAAAATTTACGGCCTTACAATTTCATTGTATTCAATTTTTACGATCTATGTTTTCTATTAGATCTATTGCTCCAATAAATAAACGACAAAAGATTTTTTTTTTTTTAATTTGTCATCTAGTTTGTGAGTAAATTTTTACAATTAATTTTATTTTTGATTCTCCTTTAGTTTTCTTAATTATAAGCTAACCCGGGAAAAAACGTAGAAAAAACGTGAAGGTTTACAGAAATAATGGTTTCATTATTTTCAATTTTATTTTTTTGTTATTATTTGTAGAGACTTAACTTATTAAATAAATTTTTATTTACATCCCCTAAACAAAAAAAAAATTAACTTTAATTATTCACTTAAGAAAATTTTCTAAGTAGCCATTTTGTAAAAAATATTCTAAAAATTTGAATATCATACATTCATATACGATTAATAGTTTCTTAATTATAGCCAATATAATTTCTAGAAAATAGAGGTGAAACGATCAATTTTCAATGGAAGAAAAGAATTAACATGCTGATTGTAATTCCTTTTCCATAATTGTTTTCATGCCAGATTAAAACGGCTATAAATAAAAAATTATTTATCGGATGTAAATGTATAATACGTTAACATTTTTAAAACAATATTTTATACTAAATGGTTATTTTGAAAATTGTCTAAAGTGAATAAATAAAAAGTGAATTATTTTGTATTTTAGGGATGAAAATAAACATTTAATTTGTTTCCAAATCGATATCTCCCTCTAAGATAAACCGATTGAAAAAAAAATTAAAATAAATCTAATATTAACAGCACTAGAATAATCCGTCGAACATGGTGGAACACACTGTTTATAGGTATTTGATATTAGCATGTTTTTATATTTATTTTTATTTGGTTAGTATCTGTTATTAAAAGTATATGACTTAAAAGAAATGCTTATTGCTTGATAATTTAACACAAGGTACCTTATATGGTTCTTACATTATAAGTTGTACTTAGTGGTCTAATAAAATAAACTTGAGTTTAATGCATAAGTTTTTTTTTTTCAAAAGCGTTTTAAGATCAAATTTTAAAAAAAAAATCGAGCACTTCAAATTATGTGACATAACGAACTTCGCCCCAAATAGTTTTATGTTAGCAATAGTTTATCGTAGAGTACTGATATAAATCTAATTGCTTTATGTATCCTATCTTCCTTACTTCCCATCTACACCAGTCCCCAGTATCAGCTCTTTAATTTTATTTGTTTTTGTAATTAATGTTAAAAATAATCGTTGAGATCATAAATGTTAAATTATTGAGCTATTGATAGGAAATTTAAACTGTCGAGTTTATATTAGTTTTTATTTGGTTATTAATTAAATTGATTATTATTTGAGGTGGTCAGTAGCAAATAGTTACACATTAAATCGTCTTCATTAAAAATATACTTTTTGTCACCATAACAGTAATTTAACAGCTTTTTTGGAAAATATGAACTTAATTTCACCATAAAATGTAAATGTAAATTTTTTTTGTAATTACAAATTAAATAAATTTACAATTAAACCAAGCAAAGGTATTATATATGTACTATTTATATGTATCTTACATTTCTTACATATGAAAAATGTGTATAGTAATTGTTTAGTATGATCATTGATTAAATAAACTTTTATACAATATAATTTTTCAATGAGTTTTCGAAATCACTAGGAAAAGTATAAATAAAACAGCAAATATTTGCGTTATTTTCTACCAAAAATACTGATTCAATGAAAAACAACAAGGTACCTTTATGTTCCATTTTTAATCTACTTTATGACCAATAATGTTATTTTTGACATTTCTAATTGTTTTTTTTAAATAATAATTTTTATTAAAAACTTTAGAAAAAACTATATAATTTAAGAAAATAATGATTTTATTATCTTCAATTTTGTTTTAGATTATAAATGGAGCGAGAAATGTAAGGGTTTTATAATAATGTTTTTTTTTCTTTGGAAAACTTTTTAACTAATAATTTTGCTTAATTTGGCTCCAATTTACAATGATAACACTTTTTATGAAGGGAAATTTGACTAGTCAGGTACTTTAGGGAGGTTTTTGTTTGATTTTCCAAGTAATTTTCCATAATAAATGGGAAAAACACCAAAAAGCCCAAGAAAACAGAGAAATTGAGATAATAGATATAATATTAAACAAATATTATTAAAGAAAATATATAATGCATATGTGGTTATTTTACCATAATATGAAATATATATTGTTGATATAGGAACAATAATAATCAAACTCCGTTCAGAATCGTTTTTATTTATCAATGGTTAATCATTATGTACAGATATCCATACAATTTTCCCAATACCTTTCAAACTTCTCACCTAAAACAGTAGCCCACCCATATACGAAGTATGTCCATCTTTAATATTCGAAGCGTAGGAAGGGATTGGTTTTACTGTTTTTTTTTTTTTGCCTGGGAACAAATTTTCTATCAGAAACTTTGCTCCAGAGTATATTCTACAGTGTGTACACGCTACCTGAGAACACTCAATAAATTTGCGTAGTGTCCTGCGATTTGAATTCTATTGTTTGGTCAGTTGTTATGACATAAAAATACACATTTTTATGGCATTTGAATTTATTTAACTTAATTAGACATGTGCATGCGCAATACAACTTTTTTTTCTTAAATGGTAACGACATATTTTAACCACCAATTATTTTTTGCCTAATTTTTTGATGAATTTTGGTAGTTAAACCAACTTTCTAAGTCCAAAATTGACCAAGTTATAGCAATTCAACCAAAATCCTGAAAAATACACGCAATTAAAGGTCGTCACACACGGTGAGGCGAACTACATTTTATACACTAATTATTAATACATCCTAATAAATCCATTAAATGTAATTAAATAAACAACATACTTATTTACGTTTTTCGTTTTTTCGTTTTTACGTTAGGGATGAAAATTTCAAGCCTAAACAATCTTAGAATAATTATTTATTTTTTTAAATAATTATTCGATTATTTTTCCTTTCGTGAAGAAATTAAATTATTTATCCACGAACAAAAAGCTGAATTTCCTGAAATAAATTCATTAGCATTTTGGTACAAACTTGCATTCCTTGCAGATGTAACTCAAATTTAAATATACTTCAAACCAATCTGCAAGGAGAAAATAAACTCATCCCTCACATGGTCAGTAAGATTTTTGCTTTTGAAGAAAAGCTCAAAATGTACATTGTAGAAGTATCTGAAAATGATTTTTCAAGTTTTTCTAAATTCGATTTAATGACGAAAAAAAATACAATTTTTTCTAATGATACTGATATAAAAACTCTGAAAACACAATTGCTTGGGCAACTATTGGGCACTTTAAAAAATAAAATGAACAGTCGTTTCAATGATATTAAAAACTTAAGAAATGCATTTTGAATTATTGAAAATCCGTGGGCAATAACTACAAATGAAATATTTGAAATTAATAATATGAATTGTATTGTTGATTTATTGAAAAGCAAATTAATTGACTTACAGTAGAAGCTAACATTAAAAGATATTTTTAATGGTAAAAATAATGCAATGGGATTTTGGAATACACTTGAGGAACATCAATATTGTTCCCTTTTATCAAATTTAAAAGCTATTCTAACATTTTTTGAATCAACATATTTACGTGAAGCTGCTTTTAGTAAGTAAAAATGTATAAAAAAACAAATACAGAAATCGTTTGAGTGATGTACATTTGGACGATTTAATGCGGTTTTCAACATCAAATACACTCGTAGACATAAACAAGATCATAAAATAAACAGAAATGTACCGTCCATCAACATCATATTATTACAATTATCACAATATTAAATCAAATAAATCAATCAAAAACTAAATTAAAAAATACCAATATCAATCTAATGATTTAATAAATATATAAATTTAATATACTATGTTAATATGAATGATTTGTATTTTGTATAAAAAAAATTTTTTTTTTTTTTTATTTTGTATAAATAAAGAAGAGATCATCTCCTTTGCCATTATTCTACTAAAATACCCAAAGAAAAATGTTTAGAAAAAATGTACATACAAGTATACAAAAAAAAAAAAAACTATTCTTTGCAAAAAGTATAAAATATTTAGAAATAATTTTCATAAAAATAATATTAAGAGAAAAATCCGAATCTTTTCAGTTATGACTTAAAAAAGACATCCTGGGACCTAGGAACGGGAACAGTCACTGTTATAGGTAATTTAATGTATACCTGTAAGAAACGATAAACCATTGTTTACAAAAAACAATTCTGAAAAACTCCGGAGAAAATCGAAAAATTACTTTTCTAAAGTACCTCCTTTTTAGAAAAATTGTTATCATTAAAAGTTGGAGCGAAATTGCAGGTAGAAAAGTTGTCCACAGGAAAAAAGAATCATTGTAAAACCATAAGCTTCTTCGATCCGCTCAGAATCTATAATCTTAGAATTTTTACAAGTGTCTTCGAGAAAAAGAAATTCTGCAAAATTATAATTTCTTTGCTAAGTAGGTACGTGCTAAATTTAAAAGTTAAAAATACTTAAAAAGAATCTGGTACCTACTTCTAGTTTTTATGAAATAGGTACTCCTATTTTATCTAAACAATATAAATTATTACAGTGGACTTTTTAATAAATCTCAATGTTTAGGCTTGGTTATAACCGCCATACTCTCCATAGTTTAATAACATTAAACATAGTATAGATATTTGAATTTTATAGGTAGGTACCAAAGACTGGAAATTTGGGATGGAGAAAATCCAGTGGTGTACGTTTGAACGTAAATAATATAAGTGTATAATACACTATTATAATATTAGGCATCTGTATTACACACATTTTAAACCACCGCCTCCAAAAATTTCTTTTTAGTACCTACCAGTTCGCCAACTACGAGTTTCAGATCCGCCACTCTTTAGGTATTTTTTGGTTTATTATAAACCGCTGTATACCGTTGGAGGGCCGCCGAACAACAATTAAACAAGAGAAGGGGAAATAATCGGTGACACAAATGCTCTCTGCTGTCGATTTGAAATCCCCTAGCGATAATGAGCGGACGGCGAATATTTAGGAACATTACCGATCCGACCAGTACTAACTACGGTTCAGTTTCATTTAGTAACTGAAGTCATGAATTCAACATTTTTTTTATGTCGCGGTTGTGTTCGGCTGTACTATGTTCGTTGTCGCTACACCTACCATATACTCCAATTTCGATTCACCAATTGATTTGATAGAAAATGTTTCCACTGACATCTACAATATCCATGAGTCGAATTATCCGCAGTGGTCGGACTCCACTACCACCGTAACATACGAACCTGCCTGAATATTTTGAATATGACAGTGAACGATTCAACTCCGTTCATGAATAAACCAACTGTTTTGAACGTAACGGATAACAGATGCGAGACCACCATGGATATCAACACTGCTACCGAGTTCAATTCGAACGATCCAGAGCCTAATTCCACGGTCATCGTTGTCACGTCAAACTCGAATCCCACAGGAATGGATTTCACTACAAATATCACTAATTTAACATTTAATGATACCACCTTCGTCACGTACAAATCAGAGTCAAATTCAACAGTAAGCGGTTCTACAATCGCTTTGCAACAGTCGAACTCAACGACTGCAGACAATGTGTTAACGCACGAGCCAAAGTTGAATTGCATGATAAACTATTCAACAAATACCACGCAACAGTTGAATTCGGTAAACAATAGTTCTGTCAACTCTATGAATTTGTCAGCTAACGCCGAGTTTAAACCTGATGTGATAAATTCGACAAGAACAAATACCTCTATCGTTGTCGACGAATATACTGGTTTATAATTGGGCCCGGAAGAAATAAGTACTTCCGACACCGTGCTTGCATCACCAAGCGTTCTATTATCCTAATTCCTAGCATTCCAAGGCCGACAAAAGAATTTCGCGATTAAAAAATGTATACAAGGGGCCAGATATTATATTACAAGTTTTTCCTCGGCTTCGCGTACCTATCATTTCATCGTTTATAATCATCTGCAATACATTTATTACATTTAATTTTATTATAATACTAATTTTATCTATTTTAAGTTTATATATTATTAATATGCAGTATAATTTTTTTTAAATTTTAACCCAATAATATTAAATAAATACATTTGTTAGTAATTAAGTTTAATTGATTTATTCTACATATTATATAAAGTTTCAATATTCAATTAAATTTCAATAAAAATGTAGGTAGTGTATATGTGTGGATCTATTATTATTTAATTTGGTAAATGCATTTTTACTAATTTTAACACATTGTATAACATAGTTATCATCACAGTCCTCTACATCCTCTCCGATTGGACCTACATAAACTTCATACCATAGATTGAGGTTAGTGTTTCCATTTATTAGTGTTTAATGATTCGGTATTTAATTCTATAATGGGTTCGTTTTCATTACTTTTTACAATGAATATAAACTTTAATGGTGAATATTTCCCATAGTTCTTTTTATAACGCTTTATTTCCTGTTTTATTTCTGGAAGTATTATAGACTAAAATGTTTATCAAATAATCGTGTAATTAATCGTGTTTATTAACGGCTAATCTAAAACTAGACTAAAACTAGAAAATAATTTACCACATACACTTGAGAAAATAATAGAATTTAATAAAATCCATTTAAAAACATGAGAAAAAAAAATTAAAAATGTGGAAAAAGTGGTAAATTTTGTATTGGCCGTTTTGCAACTCTAAAAGAATCCAAATGTTATGGACTTGTCCTTCATGTGTAAAGTTTGTTAATTAAAAATTAAGAATTCCAAGCGACAAGATATGAAATCGGTCATCGCATAAGTGTACCAGGGCCATTAATATGGGTGTGGTTCCCATGCAACATTGGATGATAGTGTTCATGGCCCAAGGGGTAACCGTGTCCGGATAGCCATCAGTAGTCAGTCAGGAGTGGAGACAGCTACAACACCACCAAGGAGGAACACCAATCCGTCCAGTCATTCCTTTAATATATTTATACCTGATAATTAGTCTTAACCCAGAGCTGGTGTCGCAAGTTTTTCACTTATAGATATTGTCAACCATGTATTGTTTTAATTCTAATAAAATACCATTTTTAGACATAACACACATGTACATCTTCCCATCAAAAGGCTGTGTCCCACGTTGATGGGTAAAAAAAAAAAATAATATTGTTTATTTATCTTAAATCTTACATGTCAGTGGCAAGAGATAACAACAACATTCATAGTGTTAGAATACTAAGAATAAGATAATATACAACAGTATGACTGAGGCGGCAATGTCTTTAAAAGGCCGCAGCAGATGGCGTGGATTTTTATTATATTTGACACATTTTAAATTACTTTACTTATAGATAATATTGTATATATCCCTCTCGAATAGCAAATATTTTTATTAAATTATTTACATTTTGTAAAATACCTAGTACTTGGCCATATTTGAACCTTTTAGTTACATTCTTATAATAATATAAATGATAAATAATTATACATGTATAATCTTATGTTATGTGAGCATAACATTACAGTTACAGTTAGGATATTATTATCTAGAAAAAATATGACTTTAAATTTTGAAAGCAAATTATAAAAATTTTAATTAACTGCTATCTATGTTTCAAATTTTAAGTGTGAACATAATTTGTAATTTCAAAAATATTTTGTGTTAAATTTCAACTACAGATCTAATTTGTAAGTAATAATAATATATATATTTTTATAATAAAGTAATACAATTATTTGAAACAGCTTAGTTTTTACTAATAAAAATACAAATAGAATAATGTTAAATATTCAGAAACATTATTTTGTCATAATATGTTTTAAAATATAACAAATTAAAATGTCATACAATTATATGATTAATACTATCATATTTTAATATTACAAAACAAAATTATTGAAAAGTTAAAACAGTTTTTCACAAAATAGGTAAAAAAATTATACAAACTTATACAAACTTATTGGAAAATAGTTCCAAAATATTTATTGTATTTAATTTAAAGGTTTAAACCTTTATATCTTTTGAAGTGATGTAAATTTAAAAGCAAATTAAATACAATAGATATTTTGGAACTATTTTCCAATAAGTTTATTCTTTAAATACTATGCTCTATTCAGAATAAGAACACGCTTTCTGCTAGAGGACCTGGAGGTAAATGATGCTAGGTCTTATTGTTATTGTTCTGAATAGAGTATAAGTAATTTGTATAATAACTTTCATTATTAGTCATATTCTTAATCATATGGTTGGAAGAGTATGGTAACCTAATTAATACTTAGCGCTTAAATTAGATGGTAATTTATTTTAAGATGAAGAATCATCTTGTCTGTTTATTTGCTTTTTTAATTTGTTCAAAGCTGATTTATACTTCTTGTAGTCCAAATTCCAATGCTCTTCAAATTTTTCTAAAATTTTGTTACAGTTGAGGAAGTTTAAAGGTTCCCATGAGTTTTCTTCACTGGAATAACCTTTCCATTTAACTAGATATTGGATATCTCCATATTTTTCCCGCTTATTAAGTATTTGTTCAACTTCAAACTCTGATAGTTCATCGTTTGAATCATCACTTGAACTAAAATAAAATAATTAATATTTAAGTTATAATATACATAAACCAATATTTTAATTTTAATATAGGTAGATATTATAGATTAATCATAAATATGCAGATGTAAAAAAGAAATTATTATTGTTTTTTGTTAGTTTGAATTGCTTACGAAATAGAAATAAGAGTACCTTCAACCAAACAGTTAAATTGTTAATAGTTACTTCAGTAAACCTTTCTACAGCTAGAAATAAAATTAATCTTTAAATTGAAATCTATAATTAATAATTATAACAGGTATCAAATTTCAAGTATAAGTAATTTAACTTGCATAATTATTGAATGACTTTTCGACAATTATGTTGTAAGAATCACTGTTTAACACTGGTTAGGACTGTAATTAGACTAATTAAAATACTTTGACAATTTTGATTATGGATTATCAACATTTCATCTTCTTAAATATAAATTATAAAATAAATAATTAATTGATTCACTTTTATTATTATTTCAATGGGAAGTTGTAAATTATTAATGTTTTATAATTTTTCAAATGGGTTTTATTTGTATTAATAGCATATGTATTGAAAAATAGGTGGTTAAAATATATGGTTAATCAAAAAAATAAAATCATAATGTTACAGCCTGTAACATTAGATTTAGCAGATTTAAGGATTAGTTACTAGAAGTAGTAAATATAGTTTATAGGTACCACATCAATATGCAGTATACCAGTGCGTTTATAATTCAGTATGTGGTCTACATACAATTTTAAAATTTTATGCTTAAAAATTGATATTTTTACTATAAATGTCTATCAATGTCTATAGATTGTAGGGGTACATGTGAGATGGCCACTCATTACGCTTAATGGCTCCACTCATTAGCTCGGTGAAATATCGATCATCAAGTCCAAACCTCATATAAATGTAAAGAAGTTAATATCTTAGTTCAGCCTGGTTTTGCACGGTTTAGAAGAGTATGTATGTAAAATAAATCAAAATCATTATCATTTCGCAGTATATGTACTATGTATCTATGGATAGTCGTACATCGCACAGACGAGGTAGTCCGCATATTAAAGTGCCTAGCACAATGTTACGTAGGTATAATTACATTCAATTACATTCCGCGACGTTCATGATGTGAAATGTTGTTAGGATGTTGATATTGCGAGTCGTGCAGGATATACGCAGATGTACGAAAATAAGACGCAAAAAGCGGAACGCGAGTAAACGGATCGATAAAACAAATAAACAATACTCAACCGTCACATAGTTACAACCATAAACCCGTATATACACTGTTGTCGTTTGTAGGCACGATAGATAATTTCGTGGCTATCAGACAAGGTTTATAATAGCTAGTTTTGTACAAAATAATACTATAAAAACAAAAAGTATTTACCTGCTGAATGAAGTAATAGTAGATCCCGAACAAACAGAACTACCTTCAGATTCACTTATATTGTTCGTAGCCATTATAAGTAATTATTGAAATTAAAACAATTTAATTAAATAAGTCAAACGAAATCGAAAGAAAACTACGAGAAAGATATAGCGCATACAAACACATGAAACAAGTGTTCTCGTTTTATCATTGTACAACAATTACGTCACGGTATCATTTTTTCTCCACTTTTATTTTTTTGATATTTTCAAAGTGAGGTAACCATTATAATCTATAAACGTTGGCTATCAGTATGGTTTACGGGCGAGTGGTTATAATGTCGCCACATTTTGTCGGGTGACTAACCTTATCAGCAGTGGTGTTCCCATAAGGTATACTTTAAAAAAAATTCTGTTCCGGGCAACAGATGTTAATAATCATAGATATTAAACATATTATGGATAAGACATTCATATACTCGCTCTACATACACGCATAGGGCAACATAGCGGAGAGAGAAACGATGGTTCTCACTCACACGGATGTTTCTGTGTGACAAGGAAAGTAGTAAAATTCGTGCAAGAGAGCGAGAGCGGTTGATAATAGTATCAATTATGTTAGTTATCAGATTTTTATGGAATGCCTTATCCATATGTTTAATATCTATGATAATAATCGGTTGAAACTCGCGCATGTGTCCCCTACAGGCAACGCTGCCGCCGTACGTTTCGTCCGCGGCTGACCACTTTGCTTATACAGAGCGAACTGTAATGTCACAATGTTTTAACCATAGTACACTATTACAGTATAATACGCGTTATAATTCAATTCCCTGTATACACGGCGGCAGCGACGTTATTTAATTCAATAGTTTTTATCATGATTCCCAATAAAAACTCTTTTGATTCAATAATCGCAAAAATAATCTTCCGATAATAATTAATTTAATTTAATAATCGTACGCACAAAAATAATATGATTCCCAATGATATTTCATTTAAAAATCGTATGCACAATTTTTAATACTATAATATATAATATCTCGACATATTCAACTTAAGTTATTATGCTCAAAACAATGCAGCTTTGCATTTTGATATTTTCTGACTCTGTTGAAAAAATTTACCCTTCCGGTTCTTTTGTCCTCGGCTGGGTTGGCTTGAAGGTGGTGCACTTGCACATATTCTTTTAGGGGTTTTAGAGGCCTTGCATTTATTCGCATTCTTAGCTAAATATAAAAATAAATAGGTATTTCACAGATTATTTAGAAAAATACAAATTAAAATTAACGGAATAAGAATAATTGTATTGTAAGATTTATTTACACATGGTATATTATGGTGAACAAATTTAAAAAAGCTCGCAAAAAGGACTGCACAGAGCTTCTATATCTTCTAATCCGTGGCGTAGATTCCAACAACAAATAATGTAGAAATAATTTCGAAAAAATTCAATACACAGAAACTATTTGTAACGTGGTTAAACACATATTGTCCGACTGGTTATTTAACCTATACGGCAGCCAGAGATAATTCTCATTCCCTCTGAAGAAAAAAATTGGCAGGGCAACAAAGACAGTTTCCAGATTATTATTTGTTAAATTTTAAAATGAAATATATATATATATAAATGAAAAATATATCCAGTTTTGAGATACACTGAATAATGGGGTGTGTACAGCTGGTGGGATCGTGTAAGTAAATATCTTTGTGTGGCCAGCACCCTTACACCAGTATATTGTAGCTAACCTTACCGATACGATAACGTGATATTTCAATAGATGCGACGGAGGGCGCGGGGTAATTCATGGCAGGATGTGACGGTAAGTGTGGCAAAGGTGATGGGGGGGGATGAGAAGGGAAATAAGGGATCATATACCTGTAAACTCATTACAATGGTGGCAGATGAGGGAGCAGCTCCGGCTCTTGCTATGGTTTCAGAACCGTTCTTTTTATACTTATACATTTATAATTTTGGGTAGGGGTGAATAGTGGAACACTATTCAAACGCAACATGACATGCGAGTAAACCACAGATATTAATGTATCTGTATACTATATTACTATACAATCTATAGTACCAATAACAGGATATTTAATATTTGTGTTGTAGGTAAACAGGATCAGAACAAATCGTAAAACATATTATATTTAATAAAAATAATAAAGTAAAAACAAAATTATGAAAATGGTTAACATACAAATAAATAAATAAATTCGCGTAACCTGGAGTGGCTAGAATATTATGATAAGTGTGTTATACCACCGGTATTAAAAATGCATCAGGTATATCACAGTCAAAATGTAAAACGCGGCTGAATATAAAAAAGATATTGGGGATTGGTGCAGCCATTATTATAAATAATTTAATGTTTATTGCTTACGAAAAAAACGAATCTGAGCGTAGTTCAGTTGATAATGAAACTTTGTCAACAAAATCGAAAAATGACCTCTATAAAGTACCTTCCCAGTTCAATTTCCTTCTAGAAAAATTGCCATTGTTATAAATTGGAGCAAAATTGCTGGTAGAAAAGTTGTTCACAACAAAACAGAAAGCAGTAATATATTTTAACTAATACCTACCATTGGCTACATGTCTTATATTTTCTTACATTTTATATTTTTCCTTTCAGAAAAGGTGCTACACTTAAATATATGAGCAAGTAATTTGGTAGAAAAGTTGTTCATAGATAAAAAAATAAATTAACTTTCTTGTAAAACTATAAGCTTCTTCTCTCTACTGAGAATCTAAAATTAAATAAAGGAATATATAAAAAAAATTATACAAATTGGTCATTTTACATAGACATAATGCATTTTAATAGGAGAGATTATTTAAAATGTGTTATTATTAGACATATATATGTTAAGAAATTTAAACCATTTAGTTATTATTTATTATCTAAAATCTACTGATATAAGATATAATTTTTAAAATATTAAATTTATTTTTCTTTATTTCATTGTATATATGTGATTCTTCTAAAACTAAAATAATATAAATGGTTTTTTGGGTTTTTAATGTCTGTATTTATATCAATGCTTATAAAATAGTTATTTCCTATAACATGTTTAGCAAAATTTGAATTAGGGGCAGTCTTTTTAAATTTTATATCAATAGTGTATGCTTTATATCTTATTTTAAAATTTCTATTTATCTTACTTGTACACTATTTATTAGTTACATTTAAGTTTATATATACCAACAGTTTCAAAAGAAGGGGGATTTTTTGTGAAATTTGTAGTTCTATTGTTTCAAACCTATGTTTGACTAAATTATTATTGATCTTAAAAGTGATTTTTACATTATTTGTATTATTGTTCAGAATTTTAGTGAGTTCATTAGATATATTATTTTTATATTTTATGCTAAAATAGTTATCAACATTATTTGGTGAATTATGTAATATTTTTTCTTTAATTAGTACATGGATTCTTAATTGGTGAATATGTATTATAAATAATAATAAGTATAATGCGCAAATGAGGAAAACAGGATTTTAACATATCGCTTAATTTTATTTATTAATAAACGATGGCAGCAGTGAAGGGGTAGGTATTGTGAAAACAGATCCCTCACTGCTGTCGATTAGAAAAAAAAAAGTCTTTTAGTTCGTGTATAGAATGTTAATATGCGATCGCGCCCATTCGATGGTCCTTATTTTTTCCTTTCTTCGTAAATCCCGCCCGTCCGCCGCGCGTATCATATTGTTTTTTTGCCGTTTTTTTTTTATACCTACGATATCGCGGGGCAGAGCAAACGGGTGAGTGAGGGGGGAGGGGTACGAGTAACGTACTCTTACGAGTACGTTACCTCCGCTTCGCCCCCCGGCGTGTCAAACGTTTTGTCGGAGCGTTGTCGGGGTGAGTGGTGCGTGCGGATTACCGACCGGGTATCGGTCGCGTCGTCGATTCTCAACAAACGGCGGTAGCCCCGAGAGAATCTCGACTACGATATTCTACACGGCAACGACGACGACCGTGTATGAAGACGAGAACCGAGAGCGGCCGTAATCGTGACCGACGGGCCACGTTCGGACGACCCGCAGACAGAGCCGGTAATCAACGCGGTCGTTCTGTGCCGGACGTTTACTTTTACAGGCGACATTCATTCGTAACGGAGAGCACGGCGTCGGAGTCGTCTGGTGGGGGGAGGTGGTAGGAGGAAGTATAGCGCGCGGTTATAATATTATTATTGTCGTTGTAGTCTGGGCGCGGTCGTGATGGTGCCGTCGAGAGTGAGATAGACGCAGAAAAATATACCCGAGCATGGCTGTAGGTATGCGTACGTACTGCGGTCAAATAATAATGAAAAGAACGACCGCGCGCGTGGCGGCGGCCGGAGGAATTCCACGCCCGAATCTGGAATAAACTCGTCTATCCCGTCTCGGCGTTTTTTATTCATATTAGCGTGCCGGATTTATAATAATAATTCCTGGTGAAGGCTAATAACTAAAAAAGGCTAATAACGGCCGTTGGAAAAAAAAATACTTTCGACTCGTTCGTCATTGTCTTTGCGTGCGCGCCGATGTTTTGTTTTTTTTTTCCGCCACATAATATTATTATCAATTGTTATTATCATATTATAGTATTGCGACGCGTTTGGGTTCCGCGGCCTGCGGTTCTCTGCGTCACAACACTACATTATTAGATGTTATAATTATAATTATTCTTAGATTATTAGTTATTTTATATCGACATCGATGCGAAGGCCATCTGGTCCGTCTTTTTTAAGCACACAAATTCTAATGGTTTTTTTTTTATCATTCGAGAAGAATCCATATCCGGTCTATTCATTTCATTAAGAACATTTCAATATGAGTCAAATAAAATTAAGCAATAGGTACACAACATCAATCGACCCATTGATGATACCGCCGTGTCGTCATCATTCTCTCGCACTAGTTACCATTATAATTTTTTCTATTCAAATCAACATATAACACTATTTTTTTTTTTATGGTTGACCTTTTTTTTTTGGCTGTGTTAATTAAACACATAAAAAATAACGGTTTTTTCAAATGAAAATGAAGCGTCTCGACTCCTCAAGAAATCCCAAGACGATCACTCTTTCGAGAACCTTGCACACAGTA